TGAGAGTTAAAAACATGTTCGGAAAAATCAGGGTTTTCAAATCCAGGTGGCTTTTTGACATAAACCTCTTCTTGAATAAAACTATTTAAAAAGGCACTTTTAACATATATTTGAAAAATTTTGAAATCTAAATGGCATGCATAAGCAAGTAACATTCTAAAAGCTTCTAATCTAACAAAGGGGGCATAAGTTTCATCAAAATCAATACCTTCCTCTTGAGAATAGCCTTGAGTAACTAACCTTGCTTTGTTTCTTACCACAATATCTTGCTCATCCATCTTGTTCCAGAATGCCCATTTGGTGCCAATGATTGGATGATCTTTAGATCTTGGTACAAGCTCCCATACTTTGCTTTTCTCAAATTGATTTAACTCCTCCTGCATTGCATGAAAATAACTTTCATCATTAAGTGCTTCATCCACTTTCTTAGGTTCCACTTGAGACAAGAATGCTATGAAATGGCAGTGTTCCTCATTAATGCTCTTGTTCTTACTCCTTGAGTGGGATCGCTAATGATTTGTGCATCTTTCACTTCACCTCTCACTCTTGGAAATGAGATCTCCCTTGATGGTTCTTGAGGTTCCATAAATGTATGATTTTCATCATTAACCTCTTCTTGATGTTTTTCTTCCCTGTTGTCGGTTGATGGTGAAGTTTCATCTTTCATTTCTAGCTCTTTTATCAACTCATCAACTTCTTTTTCACCAAGATTTTCTGCATTCTTAGAGGAAGATCCATCAAATAACACATGTATAAATTCTTCAACTAATTAAAAGGGTTTTTTTTTTTTTTTTTTTTTGAAGACTACATACGTTTTTGAATGAGAATAATAACCAAAGAAAATTGCTTCATCCGATTTGGCATCGAATTTTCCAAGGTTGTTCTTATCATTGTTAAGCACAAAGCATTTGCAACCAAAGAGATGAAAATATGCAATATTTGGCTTTTTCTCTTTGAACAACTCATATGGAGTTTTCTTGAGGATCGGTCTAATCATAGCTCAATTAATGATATAGCATGAAGTATTGACGGCCTCGACCCAAAAATATCTAGGCATATTATGCTCACACAACATGGTCCTAGCCATTTCTACTAAAACTCTATTTCTCCTCTCAACAACTCCATTTTGTTGAGGAGTCGTAGGTGCAGAAAAATTATGCTTAATGCTATGCTAATTGCAATATGATTCAAAGAATGTATTTTCAAATTCTTTTCCATGATCACTTCTAATGCAAGCGATTGCATAACCAACTTAGTTTTGCAATTTCCTAATCAAATGCAAGAATGATTCAAATGCATCATTTTTATGTGCAAAAAATAGCACCCATTAAAATGTGAATAACCATCAACTATCACAAAACAATAATGTTTACCTCCTAGACTAGTTGTCCTTGTGGGACCATACAAATTCATATGCAACAATTGTAAAACAAGCTAAGGCAAATCATGCACTAAATTTCTTTTTGAAAGCTCTGCAATAACATCCATGCAATTGCATGACCTAATCTTCTATGCCAAAGCCAACTATCTTCATCTTTTGTGGACAGAAGACAAAGATATTTGGATGCAATGTCACACAAATCAACTATATAAACATTTGAATGTCTATGACCTATAAATGCAATTTTACTAGTCCTGGACTCAATGACTTCACAACACATGGATTGAAAAACAACTTTAAAGCCCTTGTCACTCAATTGACTAATACTCAATAAATTATGCCTCAATCCGTCAACAAACAACACATCATGTATAGTTAGAGACTTGTTATCAATAGAGCTAATGCCAATGACACTTCCTTTTGAGATGTCACCAAAGTGGACATTTTCTCCATTCTTTGGCTTCAATGAGGTGAACTGATCAATTTCCAACCAATTTCAACAACACAACATACTCCAAAAATCAAGTAGAAATTCGGCTAAACTAAGAACACGAACTAAATCACACTTACTTGCAAATCTAGACCAAGAAAAGTAGAAACACTTCAAGCCTAAAGGATTACTCCACCAACTTGAATTGATTCACCACCAAATCCCCTTGCCAAGACTTTGATAAAGAATGCACACTCAAGAACACAAAAGTTCTCTCAAATGGATAAACCAATTTCATATATTTCATAAGCTAATTGTTACAATGAAATGGTTGCCCTTATATAGGCAAATATAAGGATAAACAAGTAATTGACAAATACAATAAAATAAAAATAAACTTAACTAATATTACAAACCATTCATTCAAAAAGCAAGGTCATGCCTATTTAATGCAAAGAGACATAATTCCCCAATTCTAGGATCTATGTCTTTAACCACCCCAGCTTACTTCATTAGATCAAAGCTTGATCAATGATCCTAATTAAGTCCACTAATAAGGGTGTAAAAGTTTGGGCCTTGAGAATCATGCAAATGGATCCAATAAAGGTTCATGTGGATCTTCCCCTTGGGAATAAGACTTAGGTCGGATTGGACCATTTCAACACTTGGGCTTCTTTCTTGGTGGGTTTGAGCTTCCCTTGTTGAGCTTGGGCTTGGAATGGTTTGGGCCGAAATGTTTGGACTCTCTCCCTCCTTGGAACTTGCTTCGGCCGAATTTCCTCCATTGCTTTCCACATTCCACAATCCAAGTGTTTTAGGACTTGGAGTGAAATTCTTCAATTCAATTGAATTAGCAAGTGTTTTAGGACTTGTAATTCCTTGTCCACTCATGTTTACAAGTGTTTTAGGACTTGTAAACGTATGTTGGCCTATTGGGATTACACCAAATCAATGTGGTGTTCTATCCCCCTAAGTGGTGGCAAACCCCTTGGTAACTTTTGAGGAAAAACATCCGCAAATTTATCCAAGAGATGGTGAACTTTCGGATGAAATTCAGGTTATTTTCTCTCTTGGTTTATCTCAGCTATAAGGAGTGCAATGAGAGGTTAGTGTTTTTGAAAGCTTTCTCTAATTGGGTGTTGTTTAGAAAAAGTTTTTTTTTGGGTTGGTTCCTTGGATGGTGTTTGGGAAGTTGTTTGTGTGGGAGCTTGGACAATGGCTTAGGTGGGGGCTAATGGTACAAGGGTAATGGTTTTCTTGTTAAGCTTGAATGAGTAGGTGTTCTTGCGGCCATCATGGATCACCTCTCAGTCATATTGTCATGGTCTTCCAAGTAAAAGATTACAAGCATTCATGGGAATGATGTCACAAAGCACTTCATCCGAATAGTTCTTGCTAATGGAGAATGGTACTACTACTTGCTTGACTACTTGGATGGTGTTTCCATTACTCAATGATTGTAGCTTGTATAGATGAGAATGATTTACAATCGGCAACCCCAATTTCTCCACAAGTATGGTGGAAGCAACATTGATACAACTCCCACTATCAATGATCATTGAGCAAACTTTCTCCTTGATGGTGCACCTTGTATGAAACAAGTTCTCCCTTTGGTTCTCTTGAGGGTTTATTTGAGTATGCAACAACCTCTTGAGTATAAGCATCTCTCCACTATCGACTTCCTCAATAATCTCATTCTTACTCTCATCTACTTCCTCTTCTTCACTGAAATCCCTTTGACATGCATCATCAATCTTATTAATCTCTCTAAGGGTCATAACCCTTTGGTTTGGGCAATTGGCTTGGAAGTGTCCATAACCTTGACATTTGAAACACTTCTTGTTCTTCAAATCTGGCCATGGAGTATCATTCTTCAACAAACCTGTTTTCTCCTTTTGTGTTTCATTGGCTTTGTTCTTATCATAATCATAAGTCGTAGGTGTCACATATGGTTTGGTGTAGGAAGGTGAACTCCTTTGGTAGTTATTCTCCTTAAAGAGCCTCTTGGGGGCCAAAGACTTCATGCTCTTCAATTGCTTCTCAATCTTTGTAGACAGCTTGCAAACATCCTCAAAAGGATGGTAAGTTTGCAACTCAATCTTGTACGCAATGTCCTTACTCAAACGGCCAATGAATCTTGCAATTGTATTCTCTTTCTCTTCCGAAATATCACTTCTCAACACCAATCCTTCAAACTCCTGAATATACTCTTTATCTTTTCTATCTCCTTGTTTCAAATTATGGAGCTTAAGGTAAAGATCTTGATTGTGATTGTTGGGCAAGAACCTTTTCTTCAACACTCTCTTCAACTTCTCCCATGACCTAATCCTAGTCTTCCCTTTCTTTTTTCTCTTCCTCTTTGTATTCTCCCACCACAAGGAGGCATACTCCTTGAACTTCAATATGACTATTTTACACCTCTTCTCCTCATTATAGTTCTTAAACTCAAATACTTGTTCAATCTCATGCAACCAATCAATGAAGTCATTTAGGTTAAGACTTCCACTGAATTTGGGTAAGTCTATCTTAATACCCCTATTATCATCAAAGTTTCTTCTCTCTTTTTAGGTGCCTCGTTTCACTAGAGGAAGCACTATTATCTTCTATCTCTTCGACTCATGGTGGTGTTTTCATGGTGGTTCTTTGGTGGTAGTGTGGCCGTCTTTCTCGGTGGGGTTGGTGTGGAAATTATATATATATGGAGAAGGTTTGGGAACACCACATTTTTCATACATTAATTATGCAAGTTGTACTGAATGTCACACTCATAGTGCGTTGATCCAATGACTCATATTTTGTGTATAAAAAAATAGTACTCCTTAACCTTCCGCATTACATATCTAATTAAGGTAAGGAGCATATATTTATATACAGCCAAAGAGAAAAAGATGTGGTGGGTTCACAAAATTTTGTTGAATTAATAGTTTAAAAATAAGATACGGAAAGAGCTTAAAATGTATATAAATTAATGATCATTTCTTCTCTTAAAAAAAAAAAAAGGCAATTAACATTGAGAAAGACCACTCCAAAATTTTTGAGCTAAGAATAAGAATAATATTTTTGTAACTTTAATTAAGAATAATGTAAAGATTTAGTCTAGAAAAATGCTTTGTTATAAGTCTTTTTACCTATAAAACACTCACCAGTCTCGGTTGAACTTAACCAAATATTTTCAAAAATACAACACAAATGGCTCCTCGTAGTTTTCCCCAACGCTCCCAAAGCCTTCCAAGTCTGTCCACATTTGTGTTTCCTCATTCTCAACTCATGGATGAGCAGGAACGTTGGCTCAATATTGTCATTAAAAGCATTGAATGCAAATCGGCCAATCAACGTGATGTCACTATTTTCCTTGTCCCCAAAACCCTAATGCATAATTCTCCTACTTCTTACGTTCCACAGCATATTTCACTTGGCCCCAACCATTGTTGGCGCCCCGAGCTCCATGACATGGAGGGTTACAAGATTTCCGCCGCAAAAAACTTTCAGCAACATCTACCCGGAGGTAGCTTCAAATATCTTGTCGATAAATTCGTCAAAAAACACGAAGAGATTCGCGCTCACTATCATAGGTTCATATATTTTAAAGACGACATTTTAGCCTGGTTGATGGCGGTAGATACAGCATTCTTGTTTGAGTTCCTTCAAGTGATTTGGCTGAAGAAAGCAGACAAGCGGGATAAAATAATGAAAAATACTCCAGATCAGCGTGAAATTTCCATCGACTGAGGTGAGGACCTCTTTGAAGATCGACAAATTATTTCTTTCCTAGTGACTGGAATTAAAAATGTGCAGAAGTATACAGAGAGTACGGCTGCTCGGGATGCCATTTTAAGAGATATGATGATGCTTGAGAATCAAATTCCGCTAATTCTATTAGAAGACGCGCTGCATGCTCTATACTCATCAAAGGGAGTAGCATCAAACGAAGAAGCACCCGCCAAGGCCACTAGCACGCTGTATAAATTGTTGTACGCCTTTCTTCGGAAGGTTTTCCCTTTCGAGTTCTTGACCGATAGCAAAAAGCCTGGTGTTCCACAACGCAATGATTATCACCACTTGCTCCACTACATGTATGACACGATTCTACCCTATAAATCACATGGTCAGCAAGCTGGTGATGATGATAATACTGAAGATGATGGTGTTGGAGATAAACAGAAACCGAAGAGCAAATCTCCTCATGAGTTAAAACATAAAACTTGTCGACTCCTGTCCGGGAGTATAGTCGCTCTTAGTGGCTTAAAACTTCCCCCATAAGCGAGTCTAATAGTTAAGCCTGTTACATATTTGCTTCAATGGGGTTCAGATGGTCTGTCTAAAACGGAATCAAGTGGGGAAGATGATAGTAAACCACCGGAGATCGACATTCCGTCCGCCACCGAACTTGAAAGAGCTGGGGTACGTTTTTGTCCCATTTTGAAAGGTAAAAGTTTCAGAGTCATAAAATTTGATTCCAAGAAAGCTATATTTGAGCTCCCTCCCATCACTTTAGATGACAACACAGAAGTGGTTTTGAGAAACTTAGTGGCGTATGAAGCATCGAATCCATCGGCCTCATTGTATTTTACACGTTACACTGAGTTGATGAATGGGATTATCGATACTGCGGGTGATGTGAAGCTTTTGAAGGAACGGGGCATTATTCGTAACAAGATGAAAAGCGACGAAGAGGCAGCCAGTATGTGGAATACAATGAGCAGGTCTCTGAAGAAGAAAAAAGTAAAAGATTTGGATGCAGAAATCAAGAGTGTTAACGAGTATTACAATGGAAAATGGAAGATCAAAGCTAAAAAATTCATGAATAACTATGTTTATGAATACTGGCAGTTTCTCACATTCGTGGCAGCAGTTCTGCTTTTGTTCTTCCAGATGTTTGAAAGTTTCTGCTCCGCCTACGACTGCACCACCATCTTTCATTTCAAGAAGTAGCCCAGCTCTCACAATGCATGCAATAATAAAGGGCTTTGTTTTTGTTTGTTTGTTTTTAATTTTCCTGGGTGTGAGTTATTTATCTGAAGGTTTCAAAGGTTTTTCTTTGTTTAAAATAAAGAAAGAAGGTTGTCGAGTGCTTTCTCGGGTCCAAGGAATAAAGAAAGAAGGTTGTTGCCAAATTAGGAAATGCAAACGATCGTTAAAACTTGATTTTGCGATAATTGGATATGCTTGCTAGAAGTTCCTAATATTAAGTAGGGCTTAAGAGTCTCTGTATCTAAAATTTTATATGCTTTTCCTAGTTATCGGTTTTATTTGTACTGTTTTCTTAATTGATCTTCATATATTTTCATTCATTTCTTCTTTTTTTTTAGGGTAAGACTTATTACATACAGAATTGAGATATTTTAACTTAAACTTATGACCTAAATTGGAACACAAATTTATAGCCATTGATTTATTACAATCTAATGGATATTAGATGGAAGTTAGAGGTAATTATTTTCATTGTCATCTTATCAACTTTTAAACCATTAAATTATCAATGATTCATGATTAAAAATTCGTGTCAACAATTTAAGTTTTAAACTGTTGGAATGCCGGTGTCTTTTATTTTCTTCTTTAAAAAACAAAAAAAAGCAGTCCTCGCACTATCAAATATAATGGAGGTTAATATCAAATCAAATGTAATTAAAACACTTTAGGAGAAAATAACTCATTACTTATTGTTAATAGAGAATCTTATACATGAAGGTTATACTAATTATGTAATTCACTAATTAGGTTATGGTGAGTCCTGTTCGAGATTCTTCAATTGGGCACAATGATTGCCATAGGCCCAAAACTTTTATCAACTTCTTTTAGCCACCAATACCAGCTGGTTTAGTGCTTTTTTATTTAAATTGATTTTATTCTTTCTAAGAGTTTCATGAAGTATACATTGTACTATATTATATCCCCACGCGTCAGGTGAACCGTGCATGTAACATGTGATTTATGATCTAAGAATAAGAACACTACTTTTGTAACTTTTTCCCCTTCTTTGGGAACATATCAAGAATAAAGATTACTCAATAATAAAGTATAATATTAAATCAAATACAGTGTAATATGCTTTCCCAACTATACACACTATATTCCGGCATGTAAATAAAATTCTTGCTCTTCGAGATGTTTGATGGTTTTGGTTCTTCTAAAACTGCACCCACCATGTTTCAATTAACATTCATAGATTAATAGTTTTGATGATCGTGATTTTTTTATAACTCTATATGACAAATATGTGAGAAAAGGAAAACCGACTAATTAATCTTCATTTTTATGCCTATATAAACACAAATTCCACTGAAAAATGGTAAAATGTTTAGTTTGATGCATGGAACTTACATAAAATTGAGGCTTCCTTTGTTTTTCAAGCCAATAGAATAATACTAGTAATTGTAGCTTTTCTTTTTTGGCAACTAAGCTAAACGGAAAGATTACTCAAGAAAAAATCAAATATTAATTCAAATAATAGTGATCCCAAAGTTCTAATTCCCACTACTACTAAATTAAGAATAAAGATTTATATATATATAATCGGATATAGTGATGATCAAAATTATAATCATCTATCACCTATAAAAGAAAGCTAGATTTCCCCAACTCAACCACAATTTCTATTTTAATTAATTAACACATGGCTCAGCCTGAGTGCAGTAATGGATGAGAATCCATGACTCTCTATCGAAGAAGCATCGAGCAAGAGCGCCCCAAGAGTAATAGCAAAATTTTAATTTTCATCGTCCCCATCATCCCCACGTTAAGTTGTCATCCCACCTAAAAGGTTAAACTAATAGGTGAAAACTCAACATATATTAAACCAATAAGATCTCTCACATCAAACTTAGATTTTTTTTTTTTTTTAAATTTTCTTTATCTAGTTTGTATGTAGGAATTCAAACTTGAGACATTTGACTCTGATATCATGTTAAGTTGTCATCCCACATAAAAGCTTAAGCTAATAGATGAGGGCGCAACATATATTAGACAAATAGATCCCTTCACATCAAACTTGGATTCTTTTTTTTTTTTTTTTTTTTCATTTTTGATCTAATATATGGTGAGCCCTAACGGACTAACTTAATCTTTTAGATGAAATGACAATTTAGCATGGTATCAGAGTCAAATGTCTCAAGTTCGAATCCCCACATAAAAACTGGATAAAGAAAAAAAAAAATCCAAGTTTGAGTCTTTTAGCCTATTGGTCTAATATATGTTGAGCTTTTAGGTGGGATGACAACTTAACAACCCTAAAACTCTAATGTATATGGCTCTTAATTGTTACACTCCACAACATGTTGCACTTGGTCCCAACCAATATTGGCGTCCAGAGCTCCATGACATGGAGGGATACAAGATTGCAACGACGAGCGTTCAACAACAGCTTCGATTTCAAAACCTTAATTTCAAAGATCTTGTAAAGAAATTGATGGAGGAGTTTGAAGCCGATATTCGAGCATGCTATCAAAAGTTCATATATTTAACGGATGCCGCATTGGCCTGGGTGATGGCCATCGAAGAAAATAAGAAGTCTAAGATATCTCTCTCAGCTACTGCTGGTGAAATTCTTTCGGTGGAAGAAGATGAGGTGCTTATGAAAGCACTTGCGCTCTCACTGATGTCGCGTATGCAAGATTATTCAGGAAGCATAGCTTCGCGAATGCGATTGTAAAAGACGTGATGATGCTTGAGAATCAAATTCCTCTATTTTTATTAAGAGAGATGCTAAAGGTTCAATTCTTTACCTCAAAAGAATCTATCAATAGTGTATTGTCTGCCATGTTTAAGGCCTTTTGTAAAGAGATTTGTTTGTTCAAGTTCATGGTTGATAATTCACCAAAGATCAAAGTTTCAACGTGTAGGGTTTTAATCGAATAAAATGCAGAATAATAAACAAAAAATTTATTCGAAACCTATTTAATCCCAAATCATAGATTGATGTTAATAACTCATTCAAAACAAATATATATACAAAGATTAAAGAATCGTTATAGTCAAGCCTTCGGTTGGAGGCTCCACCGATTTTTAATTGAAGAAAAACGCTTGCACTTTAAGAGGAGAAGTGAACGAATGGTGATCCACACAAAGACAAGAATACCCACTCAATCAATTTGCTAGTTTGGGAGTGGAGATTCAAAGAAGAAAAAGGGAAGAATAATTTCTAGGAAATTTTATCTCTACAACTTTTAGCTTGGCAGGTAAGAATGGGCTAATTGGGAAATAAGGGTTAAGGCCCCTTTTTATAGGCAAACTCTAACCTTAATATTCTCTTGGCATATTCCAAAGAATATTCCCACTAATATCCATTATTTATAAATAAATAATTAGACTTTACTTAGTGCCTAAGAAAAAGTCGTTTTGGTATTTTATTATTATTGCTTTAATCATACAATAATAATTCAATATTTAAAAGGCATATACACCAATATATTAATTTAAATAATGATAATTTATTCTTTTAATATATATACACCAATATATATGTTGGGGAGAGAGCTGTATATTTAACTCACTTTAGTGTATGATTACCCATTTTTTAAGTGTAGCGGAAATATTACCAAGTTGTTTAAGACATTTCCAATTTATCTACATCAAACACAAGTGCGGAAAATAAAGAACACGGTTATATACATGGTTCGGCTAAATCCACTTTTAGCCTACATCCATGAGACCTTGTCTAGATCGAAGCAATCCACTAAGTTAAAAACACATTACAAGATATAGTTCAAAGTTGATCTAAGATACAGTAAAAAGAACTCCTTATTCAACTTTACACTTAACACCACACTCTGAATCCTTAACGTGTAGCAACTCCTTGGACCTTCTTCATGCCGGGAACACACCCGCGAACAACTTGTGAACCACCAAGCTTCAAGCATCGATGTCACGCACCAGCATCAGCAAAGGAACCATGTTCCAAGAGCCATCAAATCTATGTTTGATATGGTGAGGTTTTGGTACATAATGGAAATGAACATATGAACCTTTAGTGAAAGAATACTCTAAGAAAATTCAAAGTATAATGAAATAAAAGATCAAAATGTTAGATTCAAATATGCAAGATGAGATGATATATAGTGAAGGGTTTCTTGCTCAATACATAAGTGCCACATCAGCCAACAAGGGACTGGTCCATATTTGTCCAAATAAGGAAAATATTCCTTCTTTTGGTTTGGACCACAAAACAAATCAGAAAAAGAAACTTTATTCCCTGTGACCACTTAAGGATACTATGACACGTGTAAAAAGGTCCTAAAAGGTGAGAGACAAAGATAAACAATATCTTTTTCACTTTATCAGAGATGCAACATGTGCTGGGTTGCAAATGTCTAAAGCGAGAGTGTAAGCACAAACTATTGTGCACACACACACTCTAAATGAAATAAGCCAAAACACCAGTCTGGCAACTAGTGTGCATGCAGAACCGATGTGCACACACACAACAAAGAAAACAAGTCAAATCATAAGATTGACAACAATTGTGCACACATAACTGTTGTGCACACACACAACTCATAAGTTTGACAAATATGAATATTCCATATTCTCCTCCTTTGTCAAACTTATGAACAAGAACATAAATGAGATCAAGTGCAAACCTATTTTAATCAACCAATCAAACCTGCAGATTTGCAAGAATAAACATACAAAAGAACCAAAAACAACACAAATACGAACACAAGGTTAGTCAATAAAACATTAAGATAAACTAAATTAAAAAGTTCTACAAAAACATAACAAAAACAGCATAAAGAAAATAACAAACTCCCTCATGGACAGCAAAGCAGTTCAAAGTTTAGCAATAAACATAACAAAACACAATAAGCAGAACAAAATAAAAAAAATAATAATAATAACTTCACTCCCCCATAATGCTTACTCGCCCTCTTTGTTCATAAGTCTTGAAGATTTTCGAGAGGGTAACGAAGTGCGGCCAGCTTTCCTTTTGGTTCTAC